GAATAAGACATGTTATTATAAGTCATTTCAACTGTTTCCCTTCACTTTTTAAAATGTGACTTCTGGAATTTTTAAATGACATAGATGACTCACACTTTGTATCTGTTAGCACTGCCCTGAAGGTGTACCACAGTACGTTATGGTATTGGGATAGCATGGAGGGAGAACTTGTTCAGTGATTGTGGACTCATTCTCTGGGGTCCCTCATCCCTGTGTATGTGACATTAGTATATATATACAGATTAGAAGGGAAGTTGCAAAGATACATAAGCAATCAAGTTCTTTGGTTCAGTTCCCAAATACCTACCTCTTCCAAATAAATGTTAAGTGTGTCAGTTTCAGATTCAACCTTCTTCACCAGTGGTTGTTGGAGAAGCTAAATAAGGCAAAGGGAAAAAAGGAGACTAAGAACCAGAGCCTTCCCTATCCCATAATCTTCCAAAGCTCTGTCATGATCAAGGAAATAATATATACTATAGAAAAAGGTAAGAGAAAAGGAACCAAAATTATTACAGTGTCCATTTCCTCTATCCCATGTAATTTTGTGAACATTTAGGTAATACCACGATGCCCATTTCACCAGCTTTTTAATAATAATGTTCCATCCTCTTGCAGCTAGTTAAATGAAAAAAACAGAAAGGACTTACTGACTGAATGGTGCCCTCCGTGGGACTGAACCCAGAAAGCATTTTCACTTCTACAATGGCCAAGTTGGAAGAGCTGCGACTTCCCACATAACTGAGGGCAGAAATAAACAAATCTGTGTGCGTCCATTCTTTTCCCTCTCAGCACACTCTGCATCCCTCCCTCCACACACACACACACCCCAACTCAGCTTCTGTGACTGAGGTCCCACCACGACCACTTCAGCCATCCTCACCTGGTGTCAATAGTGAGAATCAAGGATCGAGGCTGCTCACAACTAACTGTTGATACAACCACACTAAGACTAAAGGTCTCCATATTTTTAGGAGGGAGAATATTGTATCTTAGTACCATCTAGAAGGAGGAAACATAATCAAATCAGAGCTGGGAAGAACCTCAAAGACTGCACAGTTCAAACTACTTTCCTTATAAACAAGATTGAAAGAGACAATTTTCTCCCAGAGGTGAAAACACCCTTAGACTCTCCTTCCCAGTGCACACTTGTTCTCACAGGTCTCCACTTACCTGCACATAGACACAGCCCTGGCCTGAGGCCTCCAAGGTGTACACTCCAGGGATATCGGGCAGAATCTCTTGCTGGGATACCAACCGGTTGGCAGCCTGAATGTTGAAAGTATGCTGGAAATTCTCAGTGGATTTTATAGCCACCTTGACCTCCTCAGACGGCACATAGGCAGTAGCAGCATATTTGGCAAGAGCTTGGAGAGCAACTACAGTATCCTGGGGGAAAGAATCAAGTGTACGCTTACCATTTGTGTGCCATTGGAATTAATGTCAAACAACTCTACAACCTACCCAATCTGGTTGGTGTTCCCTGGCTTGGACGAACCTCTTCTAAGTACCTAAGGACCACATTAGCGAACACTGGGGAAACTGGCATAGAAATTATAGTATCTTGCCTGTATAGAAAACTGCCATTAAGTTATTATTGAATATCCATAAGTTACTAGGCTAATCTCATACATTCATATTTAGCAGCCAAACTCAGCTTCAGAATGGGCTATCTGAAGCAAGTGGTAACTGTTCAGTATATATTTTGCAGTTTCCTTAACTGGGGAGGGAATTTCAATTTCCTTATTTGATAGTGAGAGAAATTGGATGTTCAAAGTTATTTAACCATAATGATCCCCTTTGGTACAGTGGGAGAGGGTTTCAGGGGATTCCTGGAAAATCCTCACAGGCCAAGGCTTCTCAGCCATTGGGCCATATGACAATCCTTTCTTCATTCAGGAATAAGACAGATAAACTGCCACTAAGAGAACCTGGCATCAGTGGTTTGAACCTTTCCATTCTGAAAACATGATTTATATAAATTACAACTAAGAGAAAGGAAAAAAGAATGAAGTGTTCAGCAAAATTGTCAGATCTCACTGTGTTATGAGAATTTCCATGTGCTTGACGCTTTGTAAAGTATCTACTACAGACTAAAGGAACCCCACTTCTTCCTATCCCAAATGAAAAAGAACAGTTATATTTTGCCATCACACTGTTATATAAAAGTGGGAAGACAGGTCACCCACCCTGGAAAAACTGTGAACAAGTTACAGCTGTGCAGCTTGACCATCTGTGACCTGTTGTCTAACCTCTGTGAACTGGAGCCGTGGTCTTCATTGCTTAGACATGTAGAAACAATTCAAGGAATGGGACCATATCTCAAGCTGACAAACCAATCTGGATGCTATGTGACTTCTTGTAATAGCCAATTGTTCAATGCAAAACAATTCAGATATAATATCTGTCACTGAGTGCTCTAAATATTTCACCCACTGCTTTTAAAAATGATATAATTATTTAGGGCCCAGCAAGAATCAGGAAGTCTTTCCTGATCTTTGGCCAAGAATTTCCCTGAAACAAGGAGACAGAGTACCATATAATTTTTTTAAAACTGCAGTTAAGTCATTACCATGTTCAAGCTGAGTACTCTTAATATCTTTACCAGATACTCCATGTTCATTCTTCCAGGTCTAGTTTACATGTTACATCCTCAGTGGAACTGGTGCTAATTTCAAAAGTCAGAATATAATCTCTATGAGGATAAGAAATATGTTTTTTTGTTTACTTCTGTATCTCCAGTGAGTTGGACATGGTAGGTATATAACAATATTCACAGAACAAAGAAGTTAATGACTATTCCCTTTGTGATCATCTAAGATAATTTTTATGGCACTATTCAAATTTACCATGCACATGTACTCCCTTTTTCTTATTGCCGCTTCACTAAATCAATTTCTCCTTACCCCTAACATAGACAAGTGAAATAGTCTCCAGGGATCTTCAAACCAGTGTCTCCCTACTCTAAACCATTTCATACACGAATGAAATAAATGAGAAGTTAATCCTTCTGCAACAAAGTTAAAAAATACTAATAGCATCTCAGAATTAGGTACAAACTTGAGTCTGATATGCAAGGCCCTTCCTGATATGAACTTACCTGCCTTTCCAACTTAATTCCCATTATCCTTTAGGTAAACCAATTTTCTGATAGCCATTCTATACTTTTGCAAATTGGTGTCTCTAGTCACACCATTCCCTCAAGAAGACTTCTCTTATTCCTTAAGCTGATGTGAGCTTTCTCTCCCTTTTGAAATTCACTATTTTGTATCTTTTGTATCTTTCTTTACATAACTAGATCTTGATTTATAATTCTAGAACTTTTCCTAACTTTATAGAGCTTAATCTTACTGGCTTCCCCAAACCTGCAAGAGTAGAAGGAAGTATACCACTGAAGTCTTGCTTTTATGCTTACTAATTTCATCATCGGCTTTCTAATTTGTTAGTACATAAATTTAGCCATAATTATATATGTCCTATTTACATGTAAAACACATATCTCATAATGTTGCATACTCTACAAAGAAAGAACATTTAATACATACAGTACTATTTATATATTCATATACCCAATTTTATGAATCCTTTCTCTCCCTCTAGAATTATAATTCCTTGACCTAAAGAGCAAAGGGCAGTAGTTTTTCCTCTCTCTCCACACAGGATCTAACCCTATCTGATAAGCGGCTGTAGGGGAACAGGCTATTTACCTGAGTGGAGGAGAAGCCCCCATAGGCATTGCGTTGCCTGGCCAACCAAGCCACTGTGGCAGTGGCCTTAGCCAGCTCCTTCTGAGTCAGACTGGCTTTGCTAAGCTGGGCCAATAATACATATGATGTAAGTTCCACGTCTACAGATTCAGGCTTAGACCAAGGACTATCATCCAGTGACTGAGTAGGTTTTTGGCTCCAGTGAATGGACTGTCCTATGGAGAAAGAAGCATATATTAGGATGGTCTTGGAAGGAAATGACTTCCCCATACTCACTATGTAAATAAATGCCCTTAGAACAGAGAAAGGACCAACCAAAACTTAATCATGAATTAAAAAGAAAATGTTTCTCAGAATCTTCTGATTTATTGGTCATAATGTATTTATTTGCAGGGACGCATATGTGTATATGTGTATGTGTACATATATGTGTACATGTATGTATATGTGTATGTGTGTATACCCACACATGAGTCCCTAACGTAAAGCTGGGAGCATCAATAAACATCTCCAGCAATTACATATCAACCACCCTTGTTAATTTATAAATTCTGGTGCTAATGGAGATAGGTAAGTAGAAACTTATAAGAATCTTATGTGATTGCTGGCAATTTTTTGGTTCACAGTCATTTATTAATTTTTCAGCATTTATTTTACTTGCTTAAAGGTTGAACATATTAAGAAGAGTAAAAACAGCAGAACATGCATAAGAACTCAGAGAAACCATAGAAGAAATGCTAATGAGGGCGAGCTCATAGAATCTGAGACCAAAACAAAACTTTGTGACAGCCAAGACGACAACTTGAAGAAAAAGAACAAATGGAAATAAGAGTGAAAGCTAGAAGTCTAATTAAATATAAGCTTAAAGATAATAAATAAATAGCCCACAGGAGACAATTAATTGGAAGAACATGAAACACTTGAGCCTGCAGTGCAGGATAGTGGAGAAGAGATAATCACATTAAGTCTATCTACACTGGCCAGGTAGGTATAATATGCCTGCCACCATTGGAGACACCCAGTCCATGGTTAGAGTTGCTTACATAGAGGCCAAAAGCACTAACCAGGGCCCCTATAAGAGGACAACTCAGCAATGACATTCATATAAATGAAAGCCGAGCTTAAATGTTTGCTTGGAAACATTAAATTTTAAATAGGTAGATAAATAAAATGCTTTGGTATTTATTTATAAGATCAGTTAGAATGTCAAATATTATTCAGAAGCATTTAAAGGACCTTGAAAAATCCATCAGTTTACTCTTAACCCATCTACCTCCGTAGTGTTATACCAAAGAATTGTCGAAGACCAGCAAAGGGTGATTCTACAATGCCAGTAAGAGTTGCAACTAGTTTTCACCACCTATTTTCTCCTCATGTTAGAAGTATACCAATACCTTTTAGGAATGACACAGGCTTTCCCACAAAACTCTCAACACTGATTTCATGACTTAACTTTTACTAAAATGAATCCTAGATTGCATATATGTGGAATTATGGAGAATAGGGAAAATTACAGATAACTCACAACATATTTTTGCAATTTTAAAAAACTCCTACGTAGCCAACATACCTGAGACGATAGCTTGCTGATCTAACTTTTCAAGAAGCATGTTTCTGATGTCCATCTCCCCAGCCAGAGAGAAAGTATAAGCTAGTAGGGCCTGTGTGTAGAGGTTGGTGGTGGAGGAAACAGAATTCTTGAGATACTGCAGACCCTGACGCACCATTGGGTCCTAAAAAAGTAAAGATGAAGAACTGAATTTATAAGGCATTCCTTTTTAAATGGGAAGTGATAAGGAAATCATCCTATCTTCTTTGAGTTTATTAGGTGAACAGGGACAAAAATAGCTGAATTTCTCTAGCAATCAGCATGATAAACAGAGTCTAAAGAGGAGGAGCTGGAGAAACTTACCTCTATGGTCTTTCCCATCTCCAGCAATGCAGCTGTGATGTACGCTGTCAAGGAGGTCTCATCCTCTACGCCACCCTGGAGGGAAACAGGGAGATGGTAAATCAGGGCAGC